ATCAATTCATGTGAATATGACTGAAAAATTTCATTTTCTCTGAAAAGGTGGTGTTTATTTACTTGTGACCACGCGGTGTACATTGATGATTAAATTTCAATAAAATGTAAGATTTGATCACTCGTTTTCTTTATTTAAAATCTGGACAGAACTTATGGGATGACCTGGTAGTTTATTCTTCTTCAATACAACTTTGCAATACACAGAATTTCCACAGCCACTTTAACTTCAACATACGCTATAATTCACAACGATTCACTCACTTTACTTACGGTCACTACTGCTCACTTGACTCAATTATCTGTCTATCTGCAATTATCTATGCCGCCACTTCTTCTCTTCAATCTATCTGCATATCTCTCTATTGCTGGCTTTATTTGCCGGGCTTATATATACTAAAATAGAGGGCGCCTAGCAAATACTGGGATATTCGTGATGTTCCCTGATCCTTCTAGAAACTCATGACGTGTTACCACAGTCACGTGACTTCCGCTGTCGTAACATACCAATATTACATGTAATTGCACAAATTACTGATGGGGTTTCCTTTGTATTTTATATAGGAAATGAATAATTTCACTCACTTTCTTTGGTCACTTTTTTATTTACACTGATTGTTGCAGCAGGTGAAAACTTAAAATTACTCAATATGATACAAAATGTGTACCCAAACAATGTAATTGGTGTATAAAGAAGTTCATAATTTGAAAGTTCAGGCCTAAGAATATTCTGAGATAAGGAGTGTAGCAGTACTAAATTTTAACCTTTTATAATCAGAAAAAGAATGCATATTTATTTACGAATGCTTTTTCAAACTAGTTCATGTATTTGTTAGCATCCTTACAAAAATAACGTTGTAGTCATAAACTTGCATTAACATTCACCTCAGGTTAAAGTTACATACCACAATGATCATTCCAGGATCTAGAATTAGGCCAAACTTTTGTATCATTTCTTATTCCTCTCCCTTAATGTGATGTAGATCATACCCAAATAAATAGCTGATGTGGAGGTTTGTACAAGTTAGTAAAGGCTAGGAATAAATCTTCCCCTTGAAACTGTATAATGAGAATGATCACCAAACATAGGTAATCTAGGATTATGGTATTAGGTCATCAAGAAATTAATGTTGTTTTTTAGATGAAAAAACCCAAACAACTTATATATTCAAACAAAACATTTATTACATGAAATAGTTCCCATTCTTATCGATAATGCTTTTCCATCATACAATCAGGTTGTTAATTCCCTGAATAAAGAAATCACTTGGCTTTGAAGCAAAAAACATGATGTCTCTTTAACATCTTCCACATTTACATACGTTTTCCCATTAAGATGGTGTTGCAGCGAACGAAAAAGATGGTAATCTGATGGTGCCATATCTGGAGAATATGGTGGGTGGAGGAGAACTTCCCAACCCAACTCCATAATCTTGTGTTGTATCAAACGTGCCACATATGGACGCACATTGTTGTGGAGAAGAAGAAAACCTTTCTGATTGATGAGTGATGGGCGTTTCTGATGAAGGGCTTGATTTAAACGTTCCAGTTGCTGACTATAGACCTCTGCATTGACAGCTCGCTGTGGATTGAGGAGTTCGAAATGAATTACTCCTCTGATGTCTCACCAAATGCAAAGCCTCATTTTCTGCAGTTGGAGTCCAAGTTTTGGGGTTGGAAGTGATTTTTTTCTAGGACTGAGCCATTGTTTGTGGCATTTAATATTCGCATATTTTCATCACCATTGACAATTCTGTCTAAAAACAGTTCACGAGCATTGTGCGCCAGAATAGACAATGCAACATTCACACATTGGAAATGATAATCATCGGAGAGTTCGTGAGGCACTGAAAACATACATATTGTTTCATGAGAGACATGCAATTTCAGGGCCATTTCATGAGTATGTTGTCTTGGGTTAGA